AGTAACTGTTTTCTTAAGCCAGCAGTAAGCAAAGTATGGCCCATGGCTGGCTGCTTTTATTTTTTCAGCAGCATCCCAATACAATTCATATGCTATACAATTTATGTACTGAAAGTATACAAAAATTCAATGATTTTTGGTATATTGACTGTTATGTGCAACCATTACCACAGTCAACTCGATAGCATTTTAACCAACTTAAAAATAATTTGGTATCCTTTACCTGTCACCTTCCTGTCCCCTTTCTCCCACATCTCCAGTCCTATGTCCTATTTCCCACTGTATACATTTCACTAAAATGTAGTCATAAAATATATAGTCTTTAGTGACTGACTTCTTTCATTTGGTATAATATTTTCAAGGTTCATCCATATTGTGTTGTCTATTAGCACTTCATTCTTTTTCATGTCTGAATAATGTTCCATTGTGTATATAACGTATCTTATCTATTAGCCAGTTGATGGATATTTAGTTTTTTTCTAGCCTATTGTTATGAATAATGCTGAGGTGTGTGTGTGTGTGTGTGTGTATGGTGTACAAGAATCTGTTGAGTCCCTGTATTAAATTCTTTGAAATGTACCTAGCAGTGAAAATGCTGGGATTATGGTAATTCTATACTTAACATTTTAGAACTACCCAACTACTTTCCGTAGAGGCCATGCTGTTTTATGTTCCGACCAGCAATGGATGAGAATTTTAAGTTCCCACTCGCCTTCCATCAATTTCTCTGTATGTGTACCTTCACCAGTCACCCTTGTTGAAAATCAGTTGACCATAGATATGTGGCATCATTTCTGAAGTCTCAGTTCTATTCCATTTACATGTATGTGTGTGTGTGTGTGTGGGGGGGGTCCTCTGCTATAGTTTGGATCTTAAGTTCTCCCCAAATGTCCATGTGGTATAGGTTTCTCCCCAGGATGCTGCTATTGGGACATGGTGGAGTCTTCAGGAAATGACACCTATTGGGAGGTTTTAGCTCACTGAGGGCCCTTGATGGGGATTGTGAGACTCCACCCCCCCACCCCCCTTTTTGCTTCCTGGTCATGAGATGACTAGTTTTGTCCATGAGATCCTACCATTCTGCCATGATGTGCCACGCAGGCCTAAAGCAATGGGGTCAACTGAACCTCTAAAACCGTGCACTAAAATAAACCTTTTTGAAGCCAATTGTCTCAAGTATTTGTTGTGGTAACAGAAAGCTGACAAATACATCCTCCTATTTTGTTTTTCTTTTAAAAGGTTGTTTTGGCTTTTTTTTGTCCCTTGTAATTCCATATGAATTTAAAAATCACCTGTCAATTTCTATTAAGAAGTCATCTGAGGGCTGGGGATGTGGCTCAAGTGGTAGCACACTCGCCTGGCATGCATGCAGCCCGGGTTTGATCCTCAGTACCACACACAAACAAAGGTGTCGTGTCCGCTGAAAACTAAAAAAAATAAAATATTTAAAAAAAAAGGGACCGTGGGACCTCACATATCCTTTCTCTCTCTCAGCTCCTATCAGACATGAGATCTTTAAAAAAAAAAAGAAGTCATCTGAGATTGTGATGGAGATTGCATCGAATCTGAAGGTTAATCTGGAGAGTACTGTTGTTCTAACAATGCTAAGACTGTCAATGCATAGACATAGGCTATTTTTCCAATTATTTAGCTCTTAATTATTTTAGAAATGTTTTGTAGTTTTCTCAGTATAATTTTGCACTTCTTTTGTTAAATATATTCTTTTATGTGGTGCTGGGGATTGAACCCAGTGCCTCATGCATGCTAGGCAAGCATTCTACCACTGAGCCACAAACCCAGCCCAAATATAATCTTTTTAAAATATTTTTTTAGTTGTAGGTGGGCACAATACCTTTTAAAAAATTTTTATTATTATTGATGGACCTTTATTTATTGATTTGTTTATATGTGGTGCTGAGAATCGAACGCAGTGCCTCACACATGCTAGGCAAGCGCTCTACCACTGAGCCACAACCCCAGCCCCACAATACCTTTATTTATTTATTTTTATGCGGTGCTAAGGATCAAACCCAGTGCCTCACACATTGTAGGAGAGTGCTCCGCCACTGAGCCACAATCCCAGCCCTTGCATTCTTAAATATTTTATTCTTGTGGATGTTATAAAAGAAATTGTTCTTTTAATTTCATTTCTGGATTATTCATTGTTGAGTATGCAGAAATGCATTTGACTTATGTTATTAAGCTTATATCCTGTAGTCTTGTTGAATTTGCTTTTTAGTTCTAATAGTGGGTTAATAGATTCCTTAGGCTTTTCTATACACAAGATCATATGTCTGAGGAGAGACAGTTTTACTTCTTTCTTTTCAATTTGTGTACCTTTTATTTATATATCTTGCCCAATTGCCCTGGTTAGATCCTCTAGTGTAATATTAAATAGAAATGGTCAGAGTGGGCATACTTTTTTTTTTTTTTAAGGTGGGCATCTCCTCCTCCTCCTCCTCCTCCTCCTCCTCTTCCTTCTCCTCCTCCTCCTCCTCCTCCTTCATAAAGTGGACATACTTAATTTTGTCCTTGTCTTGTTTCCTGGCATCAGCCTTTCATGATTAAGCATGATGGTAGCTGTGGGTTTTCCACAGATGCCCTAAGGCTGAGGATGGCTGCCTATTTTTTTTTTATTAATAAAGTTTTATTGGAACCCAGCCATGCCATTCATTTATGTATAGTAATGGCTGCTTTGTGCTATAATGCCAATGTTGAGTAAATGTGACAGAGGTGATTTGGCTTGTAAGCTTAAAATATGTCCTATCTGGCTTTTTAAGAAAAAGTCTGCTGACATCTGTTTTTAAACCACTAAATTTATGAAGAGTTTGCTATGGAGAAACACATAACTAAAACAACTCTCAATCTTAAGGTTGGGACCCTAAAGAGCTGTACCACTAAGTAAGTGGTAAATATAAATAAACAAAAAGTCCCACAGACCCTAACCCAGCTTCAAGTCTTCTGGGTGACTCAGAAAATCTGGAGGCCTGAAATTGAGTTAAGGTGATCTCTGCTAGTGCCTTCAGATGCCAGGCAGAAACAAAGGAAGTCTTTTCCAGAGGAAGATATCATTGCTTTGAATTTTTTTTTTTTTTCAAATACAATACCCAAAACAGAACCCAGGTACACAAGGAGAAAAAACACAAGGAAGAACCAGTGGTTAAAACTGACAAAACTGGGCCTGGGGATGTGGCTCAAGCGGTAGCACACTCGCCTGTCATGCGTGCGGCCCGGGTTCAATCCTCAGCACCACATACAAACAAAGATGTTGTGTCCGCTGATAACTAAAAATAAATATTAAAATTATCTCTCTCTCTCTCAAAAACAAACAAACAAAAAAAAACTGACAATGGTTAGGCATGGTGGTACATGCTGGTGATCCCAGTGACTCAGGAGGCTGGAGCAGAAGGATCACAAATTTGAGGCCAGCCTCTGCAATTTAGCAAGATCCTGTCTCAAAATAAAAACCTTTTAAAAAGGACTGAGGATATAGTTCAATGGGTCCCCTGGGTTCAATTCCCAGTACCAAAACCAAACCAAAACCAAAACAAAACAAAATAGACAGTGGAGAATCAGATGTAGACCATGGAACAACCATGTTTACTATGTTTAAGAAGAGAAAAACTAAGTTTTAAAATATCATAAGTGGCATAGCAGATATGAAAAAGAACCAAACAGGGCTAGGGTTGTGGCTCCATGGTAGAGAGCTTGCCTGGCATGTGTGAGGCACTGGGTTCAATCCTCAGCACTGCATATAAATAAATATGTAAAATAAAGGTCCATCAACAGCTAAAAATATATATATTAAAAAAAGAACTAGGGGGGGGCGGGGGGGGGGGCAGTGGCAGCACTGGGGTTGTGGCTCAGTGGTAGAGTGCTCACCTAGCATGCTTGAGGCACTGAGTTCGATCCTCAGCACCACATAAATGATATTGTGTCCACTTAAAACTAAAAAATACATATTAACAAAAGGACCAAACAGAAATTCTAGAACTAAAACAGAATAACCAAATGGAGTTAATGAGTGGATTTAAGAGGATATTAAAAAACAAAACTGAAAAAGAGAATTTGTGAACTGAAAAATAGAAGATGCTTAGAACAAATCATGAAGGACAAAAGATAGAAGATGCAGAATAAAGTGGTAAAATAAGAAGGCCAACTATGTGTTTCAATTGGAGACACAGAAAGAAAGAAAAAAAGGGACAGAAACAGTATTTAAACATATAGTGGCTGAAATGATTCAAAACTGATGAAAAATATTCAAAAGGTAATAGTTGTGATATTACAGTTATCTACTTTAACGTGTTCTCTTTTTTTTTTTAAGAGAGAGAGAGGGAAGAGAGAGAGAGAGAGAGAGAGAACTTTTTTAACATTTATTTTTCAGTAGACACAACATTTTTATTTTATTTTGAGTTGCTTAGTGCCTCACCATCACTGAGGCTGGCTTTGAACTTGTGATCCTCCTGCTTCAGCTTCCCAAACCACTGGGACTCCAGGTGTGAGTCACTGCACCCAGCTTGTGTTCTGACTCTTAAAACGGTGTATCCTTAGGCTGCAAAGCTGCTATTGAAAGGATTCTGAAACCAAGATAGAGGTAGCTCCATAGTGTGTGAAATAGGACTTGGGTGTGCTGAGTTCAGCGTAAGCTCTGCCTCTTTCTAGTTGGGCCATCTGGAGAGAGTTGACAAACTTTAGTTTTCTCATTTAATAAGTAAGAATAAAAAGTAATGCCAGCCCATCCTACATCACCATTTTGAGAATCAAGTAGCACAAGGCATGTGAACAAACCTAGTGAATGCCAAGTGCTTTAAAAATGAGATGTGGTTTGAGTGATATCATAAGCATGCCCGGGGTAGTAAATGACAGACAGGACTATATAATTTTCAGGGCCCCTTCTTGAAAAAATTACTAAGTATTTCAAGATGGCAAGAGTAGAGAATTAAACCCCAAACAGGACCCCTCCAAAACTGGGGCTTTGTGTCAGTGCAAAGGTCACATACCCATGAAGCCAGCCTTGGTGACAGGCCCCTCGAAGAACTGCTCCATGCATTAGGAAAGAACTGCTCATCCATCCCACATCCAGGTGTCTGCAGCCAAAGCCCATGTCATTTCTGAATTCTGAAAGGCAGTGATGTTTAGGGAAAATTCAAGCACACATACTTCCAAATGCTGAGAAGGGCAAGTATCGTGGTCAGGGTAGTTTTCTGGGGGAGTGGGTGGAGCTAGCCAGGCTATAGAACAGACATCAAAACTGTACAACTGACTGTTCCCCAAAGACTCTGGCCTGGTGGTGGTGGTGGGGGGAGGTTGCAGCTAGGCCTGTTGTTGTTTGCTGAGTAAGGTATGTTACAACACAGCCTGGCAGCCTCCTGGGCTTTTCTGTCTTCCTCCTGGAAGAGGCTGGTCCCAGAGCATGTAACATGTCCACACAACCCTGCAGATCTGCCCACAATGCTCCTCAATGTTCCTTCAATTACTAGGCTTTTTCGGGTCTGCATGCTTTTTGCTCAAGCTATCCTTCCCTGCTGGGAGTCCCTTTCCTAAACCACCCACACCCTCTGATGGGCAAATATCTACTTCATCTTTTAAGAGTTGACTCTAGTGTCACCTCTTCAGTGAAGCCCTCCCTGTGATTCCTCCCTCCATGCAGCCCTCCACTGTGCCCTGTGCAGACATGTCAAAACCCCTGTAACACAAGGAGCACTGAAATGTGATGCGGATATCCCTCTTAGGCTGAAGCCATGGAAAACTGGCACAGTGTCTTCTCACTTCCGTATACCCTGCACAACACAATGCTTAATACTTGCTCTTAGTAAGCATAGTAGATCACTTATGATCAACGTTGTGTTGCTGAATTAATGCACAAATAAATTGTTCCAATTACTCTCCCTTGCAGATTGTAAAAGGAAAGCTTTTAGGCACTAAGGATAGACAAATGACTGAAACAGGACCTGCCCATGAGGATGTTTCAGCGTTGACTTCTTTTTTTTTGTTTGTTTTTGTATACATCACCTCCTACAGGCAGGGAATGAATGATTACAGTACCACCTAGTATGGTGACTTGTAGAAGAGACTCTTCGCAAATTCTTGAATGTGACTGCGCAAAAAGAGATTTCCGGGGCTGGGGCTATAGCTCAGTTGGTAGAGTGCTTGCTTTGCATGCACAAGGCCCTGGGTTCAATCCTGACACACACACACAAAAACAAAACAAAACAAAAACAAAACAAAAAACACACGGCAGCAGGAGACATGGTTTCTAACCTGGCCATGAAATGTTAGGTTTTCACAGATAACTAGTATGTTCCATAAGTAACTAGCTATGGAACTTTAGGTTTCTGTTTCCTGGGAGTCGAACTAGATTTCCTAAGGCCATCTAAGGGGGTGGTCATTTTGAAGCTGAGCTCAGCAGCCTACCCTTTGGAGTTGGGTTGGGGGAAGAACACAGCCATTTTAAGGCCCACTGCTGTCTTAGCCGCCTGGGATATCATGTTTGAAAAGTAGAGAGCCTTGGGAAAGTATAGTCTTCAAGGTCACTGGTGTCCAGAGGGAGGTACTATGAGTTAAAGTGATTACCACGGTGGGATTTCCCCTGACCCCACTGAGCATCTAGGAGTTGTTTCCTGGGGGAAGACTGGCCAGCGGCTCCAGCCCCAGGGCAGGCCTGGTGAATCAAAGGGAGGGGCTGAGCCTTCAGGGAGACCTTGCAGATATGAAGTCAAGTAGCTTGTTTAGACATTAGTTTCTCTGGAGGTAAGGGATGATGTGAGGGGGTGTTGGTCAGCTTCCTGCATCCCTTTTCTGCGGCCCCCACAAAGGGCAAGGGCCAGACACGTGGCTGATGTGGGGAGGAGGAGATGCAAATGAATATGGGCGGGGTCTCATTTGCATGGATGGTGCTAGGCCACCAATCCGGACAGGCGGAGCGGCAGCCCGCGCGCCTTTTGGGGGCGGACTGACAGCCCTAGGACCCTATGGAAGGCGGGTCCTGCGGCCGGCGGGGGCGGGACGGCGCCGGGCGCTGCCCGGGGGATTCGGGCCGGCTCGCGGGCGCTGCCAGTCTCAGGCGGCGTTGTCC